ATTTGTCCCAGTTGGTTTGCTTTACCAACACGTATATATATCACTTTGCATGGCAATTTTATTTAATCAGATTTGGGCAAAAAAAAAAAAAAAAAAAAAACCTGTTTTAAAGCCCGCTCCACGATGTTGCACTTGCGGGTGGAACAACTAAATGAGCCTTTTGTTTTTTTTTTTTTTGCGTCCCTTCAATAGGCAACACATTTTCCGGTGGTCACGCGCAGGGAGTTACAGATGAGAAAGCACACGTTGATTCGCCCCGCGTGTACAATTTTGTTCTTAATCATTTGGTTATTCGTAAATATTTTGCGCTGTGGCAACGGTGTACTAGAAATAATATTACCGCTTCGCCATTTCACGCGCAAAAAAGGAGGCATTTAAGATTTGAGGCTACCTTGCTGGTGCCCACTTCCACCAGGTGAAGCGACGGGAAACGTTCTAGATCATGACGATTGGCCTAACCTCTACAGGTCAGCCCAGCGAGTTGCGTCCAAAGCATTGCACATTATAACCTTTGGTCTGTTATCTGCTTTCCGCACCGCAACTCTGCAGATGAGAGGGCGTTACGTGTAAAACTCCGTTTCGTTGTTTTTGTCGGCTCATGTCCGCGTTCCACCCATCCCTCTTTCTTAGCATTCCGATTAGTAAGTAGGACGAAACATGCCCGTACATTCTACTTTATTATTTACACATACCCTCGTATCATACACATAAAGCATAGGTGATGGAGAAGACCAAAACCTACCGGTTAAAGCAACATACATGTGCACCGTGGGGGGGGGGGGGAAATAAACGCTTAGACTTCAAAAAAAGGAAAAAAAAAAAAAAAGAAATTTTATTGCATTAAAAAGGAAATTTCCTTATCTGAGTTAAAGTTAAACAAAGGTGTTATCAACGCAGCGCCTACAAAGCGTCCATGAATAATTATTTTGTTACAAGTATAAATCAGGAAACAGGTGCCTACATGGGGGTAGGACAGACGGGTAGAGGGAAAAGGAGTACGTGCACAAGTGGCACACTGATGTAATGATGCATATATGTGTGCTTGAACGGCTGGGTTGCGTTTCCGCGCGCGTCCAAGAGCGCCTCCTTGAAAAAAAAGGGCTCTCCACGAATTGAAGACTCCCCAAGTGTTAAGCGGGTCCGCAGGTTACGTAGCACACCGATTGGCGACTCATCCGATCCAGCGCTAACCCGATAACTGCCTCTTTCTTGCTATGCGCGCGGAAAAAAGAGGCACTCGCACGACGCGCAAGTGCGGGGAGGGTGGAAAAAAAGAAAAAAAAAAAAAAAAGGCAAAGTGGTGGAAAAGGGGGGAGGGGCGGCGTTACGAAGAGTGCTGCAAAATGTACTGCTCACTGCCTCTTCATCACAAAATGGGAATCGCCTCTCAACTAAGAGGATGGCGCACAACTAGGAATTTTTCACAGAAAGGGCGGAATTCAAAAATGCTCATAAAGTAGAATAATTACACATACACACACAACGTTTTCGCGATGATGTGGTTCGTTTGAGGAGAGTCATTTAAGAGAGTACATATGGTTGCTCCTTCTGAGAAAAAAAAATTAAGCTAGACATGGGCGGACACCCCCCTCACCCTTTTCCTCACTGGAAAAAAAAAAAAAAAAAAAAAAAAAAAAATGCTGAAGCTTTTTCCCACACATGGAGTGTGATATAAAAACAAATACCCTAAAGGGCATACTTATGCTTGGAGGGCCTTTTGACATTGTTCAAAATTTCGACGGTGTTATTTGGCCAGCGCGTGTTAAAAAACTTTAAGTGGTTGTCATGCGTAACATCATAATCGACTTCTTTAAGCAAAAAATAATTGATACATTTTTCTGGTGTCTCTTGTGCATCGTACAGGTAAAAGTATTTTTCCTTTGGGGGGTCAGCATGCTTAAGCTTATTAATATCATCTTGTTTTAGCTGTAAATAAAATGCCTTGAACTCGGAGTAAAGCAAAATGTCTAAATCACTCACAAAGCCATCAAACATATTTTTATATTCCTCCTTCAAATTCAAATCTTGTATAAATTGAGGAATGAAATGAGATAAAATGTATTTGTTATTTTCCTTGTCATATTTATTCCACACTTTATTCAATTTGGTTAAAAATAATTCTTCACTTGTACATTTCGAGTTATTAATGTTTAAGGAAAATAAGACCGTGTAGTGGTTTGAGCTGCTGATTACCCATATAGGGTAAATGGGGTACTTGTAGAAACTACCCACTTCGCAATATTTGAAGGCTTCAAAATCGGTGAGTAGTCCAATCAACGGTCTCTTATTTATTCCCTTAAGTACGATATTGTTTTTGTTCATCCCCGGGGACTGCTGCGAGGCTCCTCCGCTACCATTCCAGCTCTTCGAGTCTTGCCTCGCATCACTCGTGGGGGAAGAAAACGGAGGGATAGTAGCAGTACTTCCAGGGAAAATACCCCCCAAACTGCTACCACTGTTACTACCGCGCCTGCCACCCCCGTCAAACAGCAAAGCACCGCTCAGGTCCTCCTCCACCTGAGGGAACGTATTTATAACACTGTTGTTATCAAACACATTGGAACAGGCCCTGCCGGTGAGAAGCAAATTAACCAACTCCTGCGAGCAGTGCCCATAAATACCAATTAGCGGATGATTCACGTCGTCCATATCATTCATAATATTGTTCATTCCCCTTGTTAGAATTACAGAATATAAGAAAGAAATGGCTCCAGTTGAGCTCGAAAAAATTATAAAATGCTCCAAGTAAAACTTTATTACATCCTTAATGTTGTTAAACTCTTTGTAGTAAATATTTATTTTTTTCAAATCCCTTATCATGTCTTCATCCGAGCTTCTCCTGTTCATGTAGTATGAAAAATCATAACATTCTGGGAGTAAAAAGGCTATAATGTAATATGATTTGTCTGTGCACTGGTACAAAATATACGCCATGGATTCTACTAATGAATAATATTTTAGATCCTTTATATTATCTCTAACTAGCTGTACAAACTCGTGATCATAATCGTCCTCCTCGTGCTCTTCTTTCTCGTGTGCCCGTTCCTTGCCACCTTCTCCATTTCGCGCATTCTCCTTCTGTGTGTCTTTTTTCCAACACTCTCGACCGTCTCTCTCAGCGAGGTCATTACCATTGTTGGCGTGGCTGCGCGTGCTGTGGAGGCTACCGCTCCCTCGTTCGCCGGTGCTGCTCATACCCCAACTGCCTCCCTTTGGGTGTCCCACCCCACTTTTGTCGCTCCCCACAGTTGTTCTGTCCCTATTGGTTTGATAATCAATCCGTGGCGAAGAGCTGTTTGTCCGGTCTTCCTCATTCGGCGTTGCGGGCTCGGTGTCCCTTCCTGCGTGTTCATCAGAAGGGGGGACTTTGCTCTGGTTGCAGTCACCGGTGTCGCCCTCCCTTGACTTATCACAATGATCCTTCTCTGTGTTGGCTTCATTACGAGGAGGAGCTGCACCACTTCCTATTCTCGCCTTGTTGCCCTGCCCAGGGGAACAAGCATTCCCACTGGTACCAGGAGCATTACTATTGGTGAAATTTAAGAAATCTGCATTTGTCTTTAAAACATTAAAGTAATTATTATCCCACAAAAAATGATACTTATAATTGAAAAGCAAAATAATGATGATGTACCCCTGGACACTGGAAATGAGTCCACAAGGTCCACTTAAAAATTGCCGGAGTCCAAAAGTTATTTGTTTATTGTCATAAAATGAAATACTATGATTACACCATTTTTTTATATCCATTTTATTGGAGTACTTATAATTATTAACACCGAACACTAAGTTGTGAATACTTGTAGTGTCATCAAGTAACTTCATTTCTTTTAACAAATAATTTACATACACATGGTCATTTAAACATTTGCTTCTATTTCCTTTTCTCAACCACTTACAATAATCCTTTGTAGTGTAATTTATATTTTTATAACTTCTTTTTATTTGTTCCAAGGAACAACAAGAAAGGGAAGAAGAGTTGTTACTGCAATCACTAGAATCATCACTGTCGTAGTATTCCCTGCTAGAAGTAGAGTCTGTAGATTCCTCATTCATTTTTTCATTTCTCTTATTCAGACTTATCATATAGTCCCTAATAATGATATAAATGTTTTTATAATTTTTGTAAATGTCCTCCCAAAATAATTTATTGTCAATAACGTCATTTGGGTTTTTTGTGGACTCATGGCTGTTACATAGGTAGTAGGTAATTTTGTCGAAATTTTTTTTTACAATATCTCTGTAGGAAACGTTCATATCTGCACTGTCTTCCTTCTCACTCTTCTTGCATCCTATGATGGAAAGCCGAATGGCTTCCTGAAGCATTTCATCGTTTTCATCCTCGGGGAGGTAGTCATCCTACGGGGGGGAAAATGGAGGTATATGGTAGTGCCACTCGTCCAATACACGGGATATGCATTTGTTTTTTTTTTTTTTTCCCTTTTTGCACTACTACGCACGACGCGGTATGTGTGCTACGGACACATATTAGAAAGGGCACCTCCTGTGAAGCACACACATCTGCGTTGATTGCATGTCGCCCAACCAGGCACTGCGCTACGCATGGTTAAAAAAACTAACAACTGTTCAACGCGTCAGAAAAATGCACCTCCCCTATTTGCTGCCGCCCCGTTGCTCTCTCTCCCTATATATACATGTATGTTTGTCCACCTTGCCTATACTTACCTTCTCGCTGTTCTTTCCCTGTGAGGCATGGTACTCCTGCAGGGACAAGGCTATAGTCCTGGATATATCTTCTTCCTCTTTTCGCAGAAGTTCCTCATCTGTTTTCATCTTTTATCGTCTTCCAAAAAAAAACTAACGGGCTAACGAGCTAATGATCTAACGCGCTGACGGGCTGGCCGATCTAACGAACGAGCGAACAACTGTGTGCACAAAATTCTGCGAATTTTTATACGGCCACACTGGGTACTCCGTTTGCAGCACGCAACTCCTTCACTTCGGTTTTGTGTGATCGGTCAACTACTCCGGATGCGCATTTTTCTTATCAACGTTTCACCCTTTAATTCACGTGCTGCATTGTTTGCAGTGTCACTCTGTACTCCTGCGTCTCTGCCTTAAGTGCGGTGGTTGCTTGGGCCTCGTTATGGTGTGCTACGATACCCAAATGTCACGTTGCGGTATGCAACAAGAGGGGGGTCACGCTACTAAGGCGTACAAATGGGGTATGCAGTTCAGCTGCACAGGTGGCTTGCTCTGCGTTTCGTTAGGCCACGATTTGAATGTATGGCGCGCATTACGCTGTTACGCCGTTACGACGCTACGGTCATCATATGTAACGATGTGTTTTCTTGACCATTTAGTCACTTCACCACTCAACCCCTTAGCCAGTCCAGTTGAATTTTTTTCTTTCCCAGTACGTTTCCACTTTTTACAAATAAATGCAGAACAAAAATGTGATAACAAAACATATCGACATGCATTACCTTTGGAAACGTTCTTCCAATTTTTTTTTTTTTTTTTTATTTCCTCATTTTTGCATTCACCATACATACCACATATATGTACACGTGTGTGCGTTACAGGGAGTATTTTTATCCGCCTCCAGTAAAAGAATTCTTTTATGCATTTTTCACTTAAACACGCACTATTTCGTTTGGTCCATACATCATATAGATGGGTAAAAAAAAGAAGAAAAAAAAAATATATAAAGAAAAAAAATGATGACAAGGAGCAGGGAAGAAAAGATGAAAGAAAAAATGAACAAATGATGGAAAAAGCCAAGGGGAATGAAAAAGGGCACCATAAAAAAACATTGTTCCCCCAAGTGAAAGCTACAAGTGAAATTATATTATGTCCGTTAGCACGCCCATGCGCATGCACGCGCATATATGCATAATATGCCTGCGGGCACGCTTCAGCTCAGCGGGTGTTTAATGCTACCCAACAAAGTGTCCCCGCCTCATAAATTATAACAAGAATGTATACCCCTTACTCGTACTACAAGCGCTTCATTATTTTGTGCCCCCGTCATGTCACTGCAAAGGGGCCAACATGAAGGTCACTGTGCTAGCATAATATAAAAGTTCCTTAACGTGGTGGTGTATACGTATTATGTGCATGTAGTAGTTATATGCCTGTAGCAAGTTCCGCCCGTTTCCGTGTGTTTGCCAAACGGTGAGGGAAGGCAAAGACAGGACATTGCAAAAGGGATTGATCAGACACTCCAGGGGAGGGGAACTTATAGGTACATTACATATGACCAATATATATAAACTTCTTCGTGCGCCATTACAGAAGTACACATTCACACACAATGTGTGGGTTTATGTACCAGAATATATTGAGGAGAACAAAATTGGGGGAACGGCAGGACTTTCGTAGTCACCTTTGGGTAAGCCAAAATTTTGTCATATGCGAATTGGCGGTACAACTGCATGCATTTCTGATGCGGCTTCAACGCACACGTTCCATATGGGCACCAAACATGTGTATAATTGCACAACAAGCAATATCACAAACAAGTAGACTTCGTTTCTTAAGCAGTGGGAAAAACGCTCCTGTGGACAACTCTCGCCCATGAACAGTTTGTTTGTCACAAAGTGGAGTTCCTGATTGGGAAAAAAAAACAATGACCACTCCCCTGTTAATTTTTAACAAAATAATACGTAACACAGTGCACACAGATAAGTTCCTTTGGAATCATTTAAAAGGCAAAAATGCGTACATATTGAATTTACCCTGCACACGTGCAGATGTGATTGTCTAAATAATTCCTTGCGCGCACAAATGAATAGACCCGCTCCCATGGCCCATAATTTATGTTAATGGAAAATGGACAAAGGAAGGGATGAAATAACCGAAAGGGGGGTTAACACCAAGTAGCATTCTGTTACTGGGAAGATATAAAAACGTAAGTATACCACCACCACATACACACCTCTACTGTATTACGTTAAAATTTTGTCAATCTCTATGCTACTCCTCATTTAAGGGAAAAAATAATAACAAAAAAAAAAAAAAAAACAAAATGGGAAAAAAGGAATCACCCACCATTGGTGCTTGGCCCAAATGCGGAGAAACGCTCCGCCAAAGTAATTAGAACATTTTATTAGAGCATGTAAGAAATACTGAACTTAAAATTTTGAAGCAAAGGAATGAGTAGCATTTTTAAAGGCCATTCCGAGGCACCTATAAACGGTGCACGTAATTCTATGAAAAGGTCGCCCTTCGGCGTGATGAAATTGCAAATGTAATAAGACTAAAAAGTTGGCGCACGTGGCTCTCACAATGTTTAAGCCTACTTACGCTAAAAAAAAAAAAAAAAAAAAAAGTTAGCCAACACCCGCACATAACACATAGATCTCGTATATACGGGTGGAACAAACGGACGAAGCGGTACCGATCAAATGGTAATTGGGTTAAGGAGCGCATATATGTATATATATATTCTCTTCACCCACTGTATATTTTGTTACAGTACCGCTACTACAATCGGCTTGCGCATTCACTTCGTGGGGTGATAACCCAGTACTCCTTCGCGCCAAATGTTAAACGTACACACAAGCATAACCGCTTCATATCTCAACAGCAAGATAACTCTGCTTGCAAAAAGTTCGCAAAAAATTCCCCCAAACATGCGCTTATACAATGCCCATTGCTATTTGAACATTCCACGTGTTTATATGCCCCTATACTGCAGAATACCCTCGCGTGAGAGCCACGCAGAGGGGATCCTCCAACTGATTGCCACTACCACACCCTTCCAAATTAAAAGCTATGTAGAGTCAAAATGTTCTCGTCAGCATTTATGACATAATTGTGGCTTTCCTTGTAGAACCAGGTGCTGGACAGGACCTTCGACTTGTCCTCAGTTTGAATCGTGTACACCGGTAACTTGTTCAGCCTCACGTCATATATATTCGTAAACCCATCATGTGAGCAAGATAAAAAGTGGATTCCATTTTTGTTTCCCACAAGGGAAGTTACCACTTTATCATGGAAAATATATTTATGCGCATTTAGCGATATGACTGCTTGTTCCTCTAAGCATCTGATATCGAACAGTTTAATAACAGACTGATCATCTGCAGTTACGAACAGATTCTCATTCAAAATATCACTGCACATGATTGCTTTTCCATATGGAACAGTCGCATATATGTCTGCCGTATCTGCATCATAAATTTTTATATTTTTTTCCACGCCTGTACATAAAAAGCGGTTATTACTATTAAAAAATGTTAGAGCAGTTATAATTCCCACGTCTTTATGTATACACTTCTTCGGAGTTAACACATGTTTCATTTTTCTCTTATTCGTGTTACTTTCGGACTTGCATTCCTTTAACTTGTGAACAATTTCGTTATTATCATACAGGTTTATTTTGTTATCTGCACCTCCACTGATAAGTAGCGACCCGCTCTTACTGAACGCGATAGATTTAACCATATCGTCATGGTTTCCTAGACATAGTTCACTCCGCGTTACTATTTTCTGACCCGTTTCTTCATTTAAAAATGCCCTTATAGTCCCATTGGATAGTCCTATAGCCGATTCGCTGTACCTTACTTCTCCATCGATTAATTTGTCATTTTTACAAACATTAAATGCAAATATGGATGTATCAGCTACTTTTCGCTCATCAATTTTGGCGAAATTTGACAAATCATAACAGAGGGCACTTCCTTCGAAGGTGCTACAGTATAACTTATCTTCAATTACAATTAATTTTGAAATCCATTCTGAGATTTTGTCAATTTGAGTACTTTCCTTTTTCGTTATTGATAGTATGTACTTTATCTGTATCACATTTTCCGAGAGGATATTATTAAGCTGTAGGAATTCTTCTATAGATGATCTTAAAATTTGATCATTTATTAAAAATTCGAAGGACACGTTTTCCTTTATATCCAGCAATTTTTTGACCATCCTTGACAAGTCGATTCTTCTGAAGCTAGCTGGAATGGTGTAAATCGTGTCTTCCATTTGGTACTTTTCATTAGCCACGTCCGATGTGAAATATATCTGTATTTGCTTTTCCGCTTGGTCTTCCTGCTCTTTGTCCGACGGATTGTCGGAATCACTATCGATTGATTCTTCACTGGAGGAGTTGGTTTCCTCCTCTTCATCGCTCGAAGATTCGCTTTCTATGACTTCCTCATCTTCAGAATCATCATTTAATCCTTTGCCCAGTTGGTTGCTGCGCGCCGCCTGTTTTTTTTTCCCACCTTTTTTCATTTTTAGTACTTTATTTTGTAACTTATACTAACGTTGAACTGTATACCCCTTTGTTCTATCGTTGTACGAATGAAGAAAATGAGGTAGGGAACGAAGTTTCTTCTTTTCTATATAAGTATATATACATGTATACAATGCGGATTGCCTTTGTTCCTTAAATCACCACAACAGCACCATACATTCTTGAAAAATATGAATGGTGACGAGTTTCCCTCACGACAGAGGCGTACTTTCTAGCAGAGTAATTATTACCTTTCAATTACATTTTCGCTATTTTTGCTATATTTTGCATAAATAAAGGGGATTACAAATTGCAATTACATTTTCTCCATAGTTTTTTTTTTTTTTTTTTTTTTTTTTTTTTTTTTTTTTTTTTTTTTT